GAATTTTTTGTAATTTGAAAATCAGCAGCTAAGAACGTAATCAGACTGATTCTGATATAACAAATTATTCAATAACAGGTTGTTTAAATGTTTCTTAAAATCGCTTTCCCTTAGCCAGAATTGTCTTCTTAAGATGCGTCTTGTATGTTCCTCGTGGTAAATCTGGAGAATCCGTTTAAATTTTTGAAAGCATGCGGATATTTCGTTTTTGTCATTTTTATTATTACGTGTAAGCAACGACATTTATTTACTTGCTGATTTATCAGAATATTTTTGAAACCGATCAGATCAAATTTCAGCAAACTTTCCTTTGTGTATTTTTCGCCCGTAAACAGAATGTTGCGAATCCTGTCACTGCAGCTTTCTGGAAGTATTAGAGTCAAAACTGCATTTTTACTAATTCTGTATAGCATGAGTTTTGTGTTTTATCGGCTGACCGTTTACGGGTTTTATTTTTACTATAAACTATTTTGAACGCGCATGGTGTATTTGTCGAAAAGGAAATAAAGGACAACTATGCTTTAGCATAATTTGATGTTGCAACTTTTCGCCTCGGCAACATTTCTTGCTACCGTAGCATTCGTTTTGAAAAACACAAATATCGAAAATAAGCAGCCCGCAGGGATAGACCACCTGGCGTACACCTGCTGGACACCTGACGCCTGACGCTCTGAAAAGGCGATATTGGTTTTGCTTAGATCAGACGCCCGCTGCCCCCTATTCATCCAAATTCCATGTGGCAGACGAATGAGCAAAAGCATTTTTATAAAAATTGACAGAATATGACGGGGAATTTCGAAGACGAGCGCATCTCTCCATGTACATGATATGCTTCTTGGTAATTTACCAGTTCGAGCATAGAAACTTTTGCTTTGAAAAGAACATTTCAGTTTTACAGTACATTTAGATTCTTAGAAAAATCGTCAGTGCTGCTGCTAACTATACCCTTACCGGAATTACTCTGAAAAAATAAAGTATTTCGTGATGGGAAAGAGCCAGTTTTTGCCTATATATGCCGAACTATGTCAACGACAAGTAGGATGAGCCTAATTCTGGCATGGAGCTAACTCGTTTAGTAACAAAAATTGGTGCCTATGAAGAAATTGTCGCCAGTGTGCCTTTTCTGTGGTACCAGTTTTATAAATATGCTCAAAAATTTGGTTTTAAAAATGGATATCACACACAAATAGATGCTACATGCACGTACAAACAAGTACAAACAAACAAACATATATACACACATACATAGACAAAAACACATCACACATACATAAATACAGAGCCCCGTCAACATGTCCTCGCATTACTTAAATGTTAAAGAATGTATAAATTGTGTCGTCGCTTTACCAACAAGCAACTCTTCATTTTTTTTTCGGCTGTTTCGCCATCCTGTGGCACCTACAGTTAGTTTGCTTCATTAATGAGTAAGAGTAAGCCAATTTTTGACATAATT